TGACGTTAACGATAGATTAAGATAGAAAGAGTATAACTAAACACACGGCGCCTGTGATGTAGCTAGATTTTGTGCATGTTCCGACGTATGCAGGGCCCTTCAAATAAATAGTGCGCGTCAAAAAAACAAAAAACAAAAAAACAAAAAAAAAAAAACAAAAAAAAGGAAAAAACGAGTTAAAAACTTTCCTCGTTATGTGATATTTACCGTCGGTGGTGTAATGTATATATAATTTTGCTACAGTAACAGAATAAATAACTTTGTCTTGAAAAAAATATCATCGGGCATATACAATTTAATCTAACTAAAAATTTAGCCAAGAGAGAGAGAAAGAGATTCTTGATAAGTTGTAAGTTATATTAGTGACTCTTCTCTATTTGTACAAAAAATAGTAAGCTGTGAGGTGTAATAAAGCCTATAATTTAAGTCTAATAATAATGAGAAACTGTAGTAAACATTCATATACTTCCATTATAAGGAGCTACTTTTGAGGAAGGCGTTGGTAATAATTACAAGCACACAGGGGTCGCTAATATAGCATTGAAATAACTCCACATATTAAAAATATCCAAAAGTGAAAGATATATATTAGATCTTTCGCTATTTTAATATATCAACAATATTCATGATTTACAATAAAAGAACAATTTGAAATCAATTGACAATCAGTCGAAATAATAACAAGATATTTTCTGTGCTTTTAGTACATGGCACGATATGTTAATCTCGTGTCTTCCAAGCAATACTTTTGAGCTAAATTACAAGAGCACTAGTAATCTAGTAATTTTTGATCGTTATCTTATATCAGACAATAAATTTTCATTTCCTTAACATATATTCTATTTGAAAATTGATTTAATACATAACATTCGTATACACCAAAGATAAAATAAAAATGATGTCATATTATTATGTGGTAATGACAATGATAAAGATTCAAAAAAACAAAAAAAAACAAAAAAAAAAGACAAAAAAAAAACAGAAAAAAGGGCAGTATACAGTGTAAAACTACTTTGGCATAGCAAAATGATTTTTTTTTTTTTTTATCATTTTCTTGTTAATAATAAACAGAAATTCAATGAGCCTAGATGGTAATCAAGACATTGTGGAAAATTTACTATCCCTTTACTTCGCCACCGACGGTAAAAAGCCATACAACTTTGAAAACAAATTTGTATAAAGTCAGTACTGAATGTAATAACAGCAGAAACAGAAGAAGGACATAGTATGGCACCTTGACTGCGATAAGTGATATCGAACGAAAAGAAGCCAATTTCAAGAACTTCTCTATGAATAAAATAATAATAATCAGTGGAATCGAAGGAAGACGTAAAAAAAGTGTTATATAAAAAGTAATTTAGGTACAGCAGGGTGATTAACCCTCGGAGATGCTTAGGATAATGTTATCTTATAATAAAAACAAATTGTCCTTTGAATGAAAAAAAGGAATAAATATTTAAAATACACGACATTCTGTATTCTTTTGTAACCTACATTATTAAAACATATTTTAATCGTATTTTAATACTTCTTTTTCCATCCGTGTTACATACAAAAAGATAAGAGAGATGATGAACGATTTTATAATTTGTAACATATATAATTTTATTTTACACTCAGTACGCTTTTACAATACTTATTTATATATCAATTTAAAAAAAAAACTATTTTTTTCTATATCGGGTTATATTTAAATATTGGAAATATTTTCAAACGCATAATAAAATCTACAAAAAAAAAAAAAAAACAAAAAAAAAACAAAAAAAAAACAAAAAAACAAAAAAAAAAGCAATCTCTTCTAATATATTTCGAAAATGGAATTTAATATTCTACGTAATAGAAAGAAAAAAAAAGAAAAAAATATGTTGGTAGCAAATAAATCATTTACAATCGGTAGTGTCGGAAACTTCATATTACTAGATATTGACATTTTTAACGCATTTATAATATATATATATATTCCTTTAATAATTTATATATATATATATATGCAAAATGCTATACAAAATATGTCGTGTGTATAATAAATAAAGCGTAAAGAACTCATCTACGAGAATAGTAAATAATTATATTTAAGTGGGAGTATTGCATTTTTCATGGATAAGTATAGATTATTTAAATTAGAAATTTATTTTGATATACACTACAAGAGAATTTAGAAAACCCTCCAAAAAATTGATTTTAGTAAGACTAACGTTATTAATATTCTTGATGGCTCTTCGGGGTATATGTATAAGAAGGATACACTTTGTACTATCCATTCCATCGTGATTTTACTGCATATATAGTTCGTACATTGTGGTAGCAATAAAGTAATAATCAAAGTATTACAATTTTGTACAGAGTATGGGCTATTAAAGTATGACTGCTAATTAAAAGTTATTTTATCTAATTAAATAACGGTAAGGAACATTAACATTAACTATTTGTCATTAACAATATTTGTTCTCAACGCGAACTTAAATATGTAACATCATATACGTAAAGGTCAACATATTCTACTCGTAATACAATATATAATACTGAGATGAAAACGTACACACGTGTTTTTACTGGAATATCTAGGCAACAAGACGAACTTATAAATATGCGATGCAAGGGCTATGTTTTTTTTTTTAATACAATATTATGCACATAGATCTGACGGAAATGTTCAACCGGTTGTTTTATTTTCTTTTTTTTTTTTTTTCTTTTTTATATATATATATTGTTTTTAATTTTTTTTTCTTCTTTTTCTGTTCAAAAACTGCTACTGATATTGCAAATTATAACTTTCAATGCCTAAGACCTAAGTTATTTATAGCATCCAAGAGAATATGAATTATCAAAGGTATTATCGTGTAAGACTTAGAATAATATATTTTTAAATACATAATTAAATACGCGATTGAATTATCATCACAGTGTGCACATTTGTTCAAAGATTTAAAAAATGCATGTGCATACATTTTTTTTAGCATTCCAATCATTAACTAGATACAGCTTAGATAGCGTTAATTACTATTATAACAAGTAGTCAAATGTTACTTTATAAATTTATCATTATATGATATAAAAGTAGCAAAATAACTTAATCAAGGCTGAGCATGTGTAGAATGGAAGGCCTGTTTTTTTTTTTTAACGTATTTTTATGTAATATCATTTTGTTACGTAAGGCTGACAATTTGGAGTTACATCGAAGAAGATCTTTATACATACAATGCATACAATGATGCACACGAAGTGAGCATAACTTAAACTTAGGCAGTGAAAAAGTACAAAATTTTATGATAAGCAAATATCACAATGCAATCGAAAACAGAGCAAGTTGGATTAATATAATTGCATTGGCACTTTTACTTTGTTAATGTGCTAAGAAAATTTATACAAAACATCATCTTATATTATTTCTAACACATTAATTATATTTTAGACCAGCGTAAGAATTTCCATCATGCCCTAGTTTAACGAATGCACATGTAATAATTTAAATATTTTAAAAAGCTATTAACATTTTCACAAATACAGATTACATCATAACACAATGGTGTTGTTCCATTTTACAGTTACATATAATTACAAAATGTTAAGATGAAAAAGCTATAATTTTTAAATGACAAATCATTAAGTTTTCAATGAGTTCTATATATTACTATTCCGTTATGATACATTTAATATGAAATATTTACGGTAACAAATGATCAGTTCTCTACTAAAATAATATGCATATTTAAGTGATTAATATAAATCTACTATTTAAATTTACTGATATTATAGAGTACAATAATTTATGATGACTATAAAAGACTTAATATATAAGCAAGGACACACAATTAAATGATAAAAGCTCGTAATAGAATTTGTATTGGAATTAGCTTATCAACTATATACATGCATTCAACGCACTTTTAAGTCACAGATTGTTTCGATCACATGAACAATGATTATTCTATATTTGAGCACTGGAAGCAATGGACGAATATTATATACCCATACGTATACATAGCAGGGTATTACTTTTTTTACATTTTTCGTAATGATATTGTTTTTCGATTATTTTCTTATTAACCATAAATCACTGTAATTTTTCATACCCATTACATTCATTTCGTTGTTTTGTGTAATATGTATTAAAGTAAAATACCATCACCTTTGGCAGATAGTATTAGTCAAACAAGTTATAATACATTGTTCTTAATAACGATCAAATAAATTTTTGAGCTGTACTTTAATATAACAATACTTATAATACCTGGATGTGTATAATAATTTGCTGCATGCGCGTGCGCGCGTTGTGTGAGTGTGTGTGTAGTGTGTGTATGTGTATTATCTTGCATTGCATTATATTGCATTGCAATATACACCTACTACTTGATTTTTAATTGTAATAATGTTATAACCATTATTAGTTATAACAATTAAACTTTATTCTTACTATTTAAGTAGATGCATGCTGCTTCTTTTTATAGATACAGCTGTTCCTGCAGTGCCATATCTCATCACTCATATCAATATATGTATATCAACAATAACTTATTTACAATATATCTGATACAAAGTACTTTTCGACAACTTTGCTGTAATACATAGCAATATTCATTAGAATATTCAAAATTATGCATTCTTCACGTAAGCAATAAAGTAAAACTTAATAAAAATATTATGAATTGGCTTGTTGTAAATAACAAAAATTTAAAGAAAAGAGAATCAAATTATTAGGACTCCATGGTATTAAATATAATAAAAACTATTACAATATTATAACAAAATAATGACTAAGATACAAATTCAGTTTTAGTCATATTCATATATATAATTCATACTAAATATAGTGAATGTTATATTTTATATGATATTATATTGCATTATCAAAAAAATATCATTGGTTATATGGCTACATTATTTATTCGTTTTCGTTAATATTTTCTGTTTCGTTAATTGTAAATTAATTTAAATATTAAAAAAAAAAAAAAAAAAAAAAAAAAAAAAAAAAAAAACATTACATATTTACATTTTACTCAATATGTCTCAATAAATCATTTTATGATGTTATAAGCATCCTCTTTCTTTCTTCAAAATTTCAAATATATATCATACCGCAAATATGAACTCATATCGAAAAATAATTAATTTGGAAGCCTCTTCCCAGAGACATTTAACTTAAATCAAAGACTTACGTCACCATACGCAAAGTTCCATTTTTCATATGCAGCCAAACTAGCAGGTGATACTGACCTACGAATTCTCTTTAGAGAATCACGAAAATCTTGCATTGTAATATTGCGTACAGAATTAAGATCAAGTTCTTTAACCTGATCTGGATTCAACTCTGTCAAATGATAATATAATTTATACCATCATTTCTAATTAAATTATTATTATGTTCTATTATTATTATACAGGTCGAATGGTCAAATCATCAATTTCCATTCGTTTCTTTTTATATAATGATACATCTATTATCACACACATGCTTATATAATAAAACAAAATTGTACATTACCTCTGATAGGACCAAGGGCTGCATCCTTAGCTAAACCAGTTAAATCACTTCCAGAATATCCTTCTGTTAAAAACGCCATTTCTTTAAGTTCTTCCTTTGTTAATGGATCATTATGTTTTGCTAAAAGTCTTTGAAGTAACATAATTCTTGTTGCAATATCTGGTAGCGTAACATATACTCGTTTCGTAAATCTTCTCAATGCTGCCTCATCTAATTCTTGTGGTCTATTCGTAGCAGCCATTACGAGCACTCTCTCCTCAGGGTTACATGGCAAACCATCAAATTCAACAAGAAATTCTGTTTTCAATCGTCTGTTAAGAAAAAATTCATACAGAATCGAACAAGTATTATTATAATAATCTAAATTTATAAAATTATATTTTTAAGTAGTATACCTTGAAGCTTCGTGTTCATTATCTCTACGTTCACTCAATAATGAATCTACTTCATCAATAAAAATAACAGATGGTTGTAATTCTCTTGCTATTGCAAAAAGTGCCCTTACTAACTTTTCACCTTCCCCTACATATTTGGAAGTTAGGCTAGCAGCAGATATTGAAAAAAATGTTGCATTGCATTGCGTAGCTACGGCACGTGCTAGAAGAGTTTTTCCGTTTCCAGGAGGACCAAACAATAACAATCCTCTTGCAGGAGTTCGTAATCCTGTGAACAATTCTGGTCGCAATGAGGGTAATATCACCATTTCTTGCAAAGCCTGTTTAGCAGTCTATAAATTTAAATATTATATATATAAAATCAATTCAATACATATATTTATTTTCATCTATTAAAATTGTCATTTACAAACCTCTTGACCAGCAATATCTTCCCATTGAATGGCTGTTCCACCTTCTAAGATTTCATCTAATATAACTTGAGCAAGCTTTGGATCTACACCTTTTAAAAGAGGTACTTTTCGTGTTGGTGTACTTCTGTTACTGTTTGATGTAGTTGGTGTCGCAGGTCTTCTTAAAGGTGAACCGTTACCAGGTACAGATAATTGTCTTTTTACAGAAGGCGGTGTTGATGATGGTTTCATGGGTGTCACTCTGTGAGTAGGTTGAATATTTGTTGTGCGACCCATACTGCGTGGCAATGTCTGACTCTTACTCATATTTGTACCCATTAATCGTTTCCCAGGAACAGATAGTTTTCTTCCAGATGCTGTAATAATAAACCATCACATTGATAATTCAAAATATGTTAAAGTATATATATATATATATATATATATATATATATATATATATATATATGAAAAGATAAACATCACAATTAACAAGATAAGGTAGGAATATTTATAGGCACACATAGTATTATTGATATTAGTGAAAAAAAATTTTTTATGCTAAAATAAAATATTGCATATGTATTTACAAATATTGAAAGAAAATTTATATATCAAAGAAGGATATATTTATTTCCTGGTATTTAAACAAATTATTTCATCTAAAGTAAGAAAATTGCATGAACAAATTGTTAAATATCCATATACAGGTGAAATTAAGATTAATATTAATGGCATTAATTATTCATATTGCTAATAATGTTAATAATTGGTATCAATACTTTAAAATAAATTAAAGTTTATGAAAAAAAATATCATTTTGATATTACAAGTAATACACACATTTATCAGTAAAATTAAATACATTTGAGGAATTCACACAGAAGTCCATTTCCAATCTTATCATATGCAGAAAAGAATATATTTGCTGGGTATCTATTTATCTAATCTTATATCTATATAAGCAGGGATTATTAATAATAATATTTCTATTTGATTACATACTTATATTTATCTATTACATCCACACTATATGGCCATAATTTAAATGCATTTTATATAGAAACATGAAATGCATGGAATTAAAAAAAGCAAAACTACAAAATAGACATAATCTACCTACTTTCTAATTACAATTATTTAAGCCCAGAATATCAGACAAACAATACCTTCAGAAGGATGCACGCAACAGTTTTTTGGAGATCGTGGCCTTAATTTGGGAATCTGAGTGCATGTGTTCTGTCCTGTATTTACTGTTTGTGAATTATTCATATTTTTATTATGACTTATATTTAAAGAAGCTGTACGAGTAGTTTGTAATGTGTGTACACTGCGACGAGCCCTCAGAAGTTTTCCTGGATGTTCGTTGTCCAATTTATTTCCAGAAGTACGATATTCATTGGCGATATCCAGTTTTTTCAGCTCACACACACTCACTACAAAAAGGAAAAACACTCTCTGCCATGCTGCAGTAGGCTAAGTAGCTAAAGAGGAAATAAGACTAAACATAAACCCATTAAAAAAATAGGCTATGTTAGGATATTATTGAAACTGCGTCAATTTTTATCGCAATTAGATATGCTGCTATTTATAAGTTGGCCACTAATTTTCCAAATGCATTAAGTTGTCTTAATGACATAGTTCTGATGGTTGTGAAACAGAATTAATAATAGATAGTGCCAAAGGTAAATTTTGTAATAAAAAATTATGCGAACTGGTGTCACTCGTCATACACTCACGCACGCACGCACACGCACACAAACATTAAGAAATAATTAGCACATAAGCATGCTAAATACATCGATCTTTTTTGTGCTATTGCTATCACTTTACATGTGCCGTAAGATCCAATTTTTCCATATAAAGAACAATTGTGATCAATGATGTTTCATATAATACATAGAATTACATAAAAAAAAAAAAAAAAGAAAAAGAAAAAAAATTATACTTTATAATATTTGATTCTTGACAGAATAATGCAATAGCGCAAAAAGCATAGAACGATTAATAAATATAGAGATGTACAAACCTAAGAAGTCAAGTCTATCCTTAGCCATTGCTAAATTTGTACACATTTTATCATGCAATCTTTGTGCATGTTCCCATACTTCGCCACGTCCACCAGTGCACTCAACGGCTATTCCTTTTTCTAATTCGCCAATTCCTTTTTTATAAAGTTCTATGGCCATTTCTTTTTTTCCTAATAAGAAATAGAATCAACGAATATTTAAAATTGGAATAGTTTTCATAAGATATAATCAGGAATCATTTGTGTTTTATGTTACCTTCATTATCTTCATCAATTTTGAGTGCCTTACTAATAAACTCAAAGGCTCTACGATGGTGATGCTTTTGTTTAGCAAGCAATGGATCGCCAGGACCAGGCCCAATCGTTCTCTTAGGTACTTGAGACATCTCTTCACTTTCAATTTGTGCAGTATTAATCGAATCACGAGTCAAATTATTTTCAGACTTTTGACCAACAACTATTTCAAGCTGGCAACTATGTTTTGTAGCTTGTCTTCGTTGAATCAGTTGTGAGGTAGATGTATACAAGTACTTAAACACCACAAAAAGTTGATAAAGCAAAGTTCTCAAAACGTTAAACAATAATATAAGGGGAAAAGAAACAATATACAAATTGCGTTTGTGCACCGACGGTTGTGGATTATCGAGAAACCGATGGCTATGATGATGATGATGATGATTGTGATGATGATTGTTACAATTAATAGTTGTCGTAGTTTTATCACTGTTTTCACTCTTAGTCACGCAAAGCTTTTTAGGTGACTTTGTACCGAATTTTCGTGCCGGTCGCCCACCATCACTGTAAGACATTTCCTACTGCGATCTTCAGATTCAGATAAATTGAATTACACTTTTCGATGTCAAAAAAAGTGATTAGAATAAACCGTTCCGACATCCCCGATGTGAAACATCGAGGAGCAAATAATAAATAAGAAAATTATGTCGATATTATGATGTTTTTATAAGTACGATCAACGTGAAATGAGTGATCAGTACTGATATGCAGTACGTCAATAAAAATTGATTTAAGAGAATGAGAATTTTGAGTCGTTCGTATGATGAACTGAGAAATAACAAAAGAATTGAAATGTTTCAGAATCTTTTGTAGCATAGCTTATGATTCTCGTCGAATTTTAAATAAATATGCATTAATATTATGACAGCGAAATATTTTGTAGAAAAAGATAGAAAAACATGTCACAACATTGATTTGTTGTATGTGTTATCTTTCAGCTAATCACAGCCAACACTGTCGGGCGACCTTGACAATCTTATCACGCGGTTCAATATACGTTGCATGTATACTTCTGGATCGTTTTCATTGTTTCTTTACTATTGCATTAAAGTTTTATAAATTTTTTTAATATATTCTTCTCCTTAAATATAATTTCTATTTTATATTATTTTCATTACATATAATACGTACCTATTATTATAATATATTTGATATTATTTAAAAGCACGACACCTTATTGAAATGGAATGCTTCTAATCAGTATCAACCAATCAACGTCACCGTAAAATATTTTGGTAACTTTTCAATGTTGATTCGTTATTTTGTCCAATAAAATTTCGCTTAATGGATCACGTGATACGTGTTATTAGCAAGCGTCATTTCTATTTGCTGAATTTGAGCGAATATACAGACTTGAAAATCTATCTTTCGTCTTTCAATTTCTATGATCTGTATGTATTATATACTTCTTGTAAAAGTGATCTCATGTCGCCATTTTGTGTTTCAATTTTGCGCTTTACATTTTAGAGATTTGGTTAAAGTAAAAAAGATGTCCTCCGCGAGCGGTGATGAGAGCGAAGTTACTTTAGCTGAACCAGGTAAATATACGGAATATCCATTTATATAAATTTGATTAAGATAGCATTAATAATTTTACATATAAAATAGGTAATTCGTTTGTAGTATAATTTATTCAGATAACCAAACTGGATTGCACACCCGGTAGTAATCACCGTTTACGTACCGCCATTGAGCAAATGGCGTCACATATATAGAATGTTTTATTTTTCGTTTCCATTACTTATATTTAATTTTTTCTCCTTTTTTTTAGTACGCCGCACAAGGACTGGTCGTGCTCGTAAAACACCTGTAGTGGCAAAAAAATCACCGGTGAAAAAGCTTCTAGCGAGAGCTACTCGTTCCCCTAAAAAAATTCAAGAAATTGAGGGGATAGAGGTATGCAATAAAGTTTATTTTACAATGATAAATACATTGTTCATTCATCTATCCGATATAAAATTTATTTAGTACAATGGAAACTTATTTTAGGAGGAATCTCATATGTTAGAAGTGGTGGAAAGCCTATCTGAAAATGGTGTACAAAGATTGAATGACATTATAATTGAGCGACACAATGACAGTGCTCCTATGTTACATTTAGAATTAGAAGATTCAGGAGATACTAATGTTCATGAAGTAACAATAGATCAAAGTATACAGTCGGAGATAGGTGTACCAGAATTAGAAGCTCCTCCTCCACCAAATGTGAATAACATGCCTAATACACCTATTTTATCTTCGCTTAAAGTAAAAGAAGCTACACATTTAATGGTATGTAATAAATCATCTTGATATATATATATATACATACATACATACATATATATATATCTCGATCATATAACATTTCAAATTAAATATGATTATTTTACAGCAAGAACATTCTGGTACAGAATGTGATACAATAATTATAGAAGAGAGTAGTATAGACAAGGAGGATATGCTTTGTGAAACTGCACAAATTGAAATGGAAGGACAAAGCATAAGTAATGATGAAATAAGTAATCAACGTGTGTTGATTGATTTCGAAGAAGTTGTAACAGAAGATGGTGATACCATAACACAAGTGACCAAAATTTTGGATACGGATGGAATTCATTCAGATAATGTAATCAGTCATGTCGATACAGGTATTGAAGTTATGGAGGTTGATGATTCACAACAAGAAATATCAGAAGTTGTAGAAAATATTGTGGATAAAGTGGAACCGGATGCAGAAGCAATGGAAACTGAAAACATAGAATTTTCGACTATTGAAATTACTGAAGGAAATAATGAGTCTAGCTTTCAAATTGATAACGGTATAAAAAAAACAGAACCAGATACAGAAGCAGTTTCTGAAGATGAATTACCTACTGAAGCAGCTACTAAGGTAAATCAGAAATTTGTAATGAATTTTTAACATTAAATTTAATATATAATTAATGTTAATTAAGTAATGTTTATTTTTTTTACATTATTAGGAACCAGAAACTGAAGCTGTTTCTGATGAAGAATTACCAGCAGCAGCTCCTGCTGATTTAGGTGAAACAGAATCTGTGTCGGAAGATGAATTACCACCGGATAGCGAAAAGAAAAGAAAAAGTGGTATTAAGTCTATAAATAAAACGCCAGAAAAAAAAGCTAAAACGGAAGGAGGAAGTCAGTAAATCGTATTAAAAAATAATTATTTAATTTATATTTATCGGCCATATGGATTTTAATTCATATTCTTTATTACCATAGATAAAAGAAAATTAAATGCTGAAGGAGAATACGATCCTAGTTCTCCAACTTCTGAAAATAATGATGAGACACCAGCGAAGAAAGTCGCTCTATCCAGTGAAACAGAGCTTGGAGATAATAAATTGGATATAAAGCCAGCGTCACCAAAAAAGAAAACTCTACCTGAATTAGAAAAGTATTGGAAAGCTGTCAATGAGGATCCATCAGATTTTACAGGGTGGACATATCTTCTGCAATATGTTGATCAAGAGGTATTGAGAATAATATTGAGAATATAAATTACATTATTCTAACCCTCGCCTCGGCTGCCTCTCCTTTTTTCTTTCAATTCTTCTTTAGTTTATTTGGTAATAAGTTTACAATATATACAAATGAATATCCACATAGTAGATACACGGAAATGTTTTAGAACGACGCAGAGGCAGCGCGTGAAGCATACACCAAATTTTTGGAGCGGTACCCTTACTGCTATGGTTACTGGCGGAAGTTCGCTGATTACGAGAAGAAGAAGGGCAACCCCGAAAATGTCCAAATGGTGAGTTAATTCGTTTTTTTCTTCATTAGGTTTATATTTCTTATTATGATATCATTTAATTAACGCAATCTAATGAAAATAGCTCGAGTTAGGAAGACGCGTGGGCAGTGTGCACGCACGTAAATATGGTTTTCCCTTCCAACAGCCTAGCACGTCTTGCGGCACCTATACGACTCTCTCCGTTTACCAAATAGCTACTTATTTAATTATTCTGTGATATCTATAATGCTATATTACGTATTATTGTTTTATCAATATCGATATAACGATACTCTACATATGATACGTAAGTCACATGAAGGCTAGTTATTTCCATTTGCGATATATTATCGTTCAAGAAATTGTGTGTAATATTTACTTGTAAGCATTTGTACACATAGCTTACTACAGAAAGTATTGTAACTTAAGCATAAGATGTGGTACCTTACTTAATGTAAGTAAGATTGGGTTGGGTGTTAAGTCAAAGTCAGAAACAAAGACTTAGGACGTGCACGTGCCAGAGAGGGAACAAGAATGAGTGATGGAAGACACTGAGGCACCCAGATTGGAACACTCCCTGACTTTAAGGTGAATGCACAATGCTCTGCAATCTCAGTGTTAATTATATCAATCTTTATTTACAGTACGCGTACGGTATGTGAGTATACGTTACTAAAAACCGTAATGCTTAACAAAAGCTAAAAATAGGTATAAGACTACCCGGCGTCAGTCCAATTATTTGTAAACTCTTCTAAGTGTGATTACGAATCGTTACTACAGGTATTCGACCAAGGTTCGAAAGCTATTTCGCTCAGCGTCGACCTCTGGCTGCATTACATCAACCACTGCAAAACTGTCTACGAAAAGGACGAAGAAAAACTTCGTGAACAATATGAAAGGGCTATTCAAGCATGTGGATTGGAATTTAGGTAAGTAAATTCCAATCCACGTAAAGATGAAAAGTAATGTTATATTACTGCTTTTTTTTTTTTCTTTTTTTTTTCTCTCTCTTTCTTTTTCATTCTTATCTTAGATCTGATCGTCTTTGGGAGAGTTATATTAAATGGGAATTGGAAGGGAAACGTTTGAGCAGAGTAACGGCATTGTACGATCGATTATTATGTACTCCTACCCTTGGATATATTTCTCATTTTGAAGCCTTTCAAGAGTTTGTTTCTTCAAATTTACCAAATCGAATTTTAAGCGTCGATGATTTTCTTGCTCTCCGAGCCGAAGTTAAAGCTCTCCTAAAAGCAGATGATGCTACGTCAGCATCAGCTGCGGACGATGCGCCACCAGGAGAAGAACCACCTCCTCACGAAATGCCACCTACGGACGAAGAGACACGTGCTATCAGAGAAAAGATAATCAGTAGTAGACGTAAAATGCATAAAGCAAATGTTAATGCAGTGGCTGCTAGATGGTCATACGAAGAAGGGGTAAGAAGTTCTGTTGTAACATTAAACATTTTAACACACAAAAGAGACGTAAATCGTAATGTTGTCTTTGAATAACAGATTAAGAGGCCATACTTTCACGTTAAACCTTTAGAACGATGTCAGTTAAAGAATTGGAAGGAATATTTGGACTTTGAAATTGAACAAAAGGATCAAAATAGAATCATCATTCTTTTTGAAAGATGTCTCATAGCGTGTGCACTTTATGATGAATTTTGGATGCGGGTACGTTAATTATAATGAATAAAAATAAATATTTTTTTCTTTTCTTTTTTTTTTCTTTTTTTTTTTCTTTCTTTTTCTTTTTTTACACTTTGTGTTTTTTTCTTTACAGTTTGTACGTTATCTGGAATCATTGAAAGGTGATAATGTAGAAAAAATAAGAGATGTTTATTCGAGAGCATGCATGGTGCATCATCCAAAGAAACCTAATCTACATCTGCAGTGGGCGACCTTTGAGGAAGGTCAGGGTAATTTTGAAAAAGCTGCTGCTATATTGGAAAATATCGATAATGTATTACCCAATATGTTACAAATAGCCTATCGAAGAATAAATTTAGAACGCAGACGTAATGATTTAGAGAAAGCTTGTACATTGTACGAAAACTATATAAGCAACAGCAAAAATAGGACAATTGCTAATAACATTGCAGTAAAATACGCACGTTTTCTTTGCAAAGTTAAGAACGATGTGGATAAAGCTATTAAAGTATTATTGAAGGTATATATTTATACATCTTTTTCGACTATTAAATTTAATGTCTAAAATTAATGTCATTATATAAATAATTTCTTTTTTTTTTATCAGGCCACAGAGAAAGATAAGGATAATCCAAGATTGTACTTGCAATTAATAGATCTGGGGTTACAGAGAAATCCAGTTGATACGCAAGAAATTGTCGGATACATGGATATGTTTATAGAAAGAGAACATGCTGATTTGGAACAAAGAGTTTTATTTGCACAACGCAAAGTAGAATTCCTCGAAGACTTCAGTCCTGATATTCGGCAAGTTTTAAAAGCACACGAACAGTTCCAAAAGTGTATAAAACAAGCAAAAGAACGGAAAAAGACAAAGAGTGATGATAACAAAACGTACGAATTATCGTTTTTCATTGTTGTGTATACATATAAGTATTTAAAATAATATAGTTCTTAAACTTATCAAGTACAATTATATATTTGTTAATTTTTATATTTTCTTGATATTAAAAATTTGATACAAGATAGTATTTTTTTTTTGTTATCTTCTATTACAGTGATTCTTCTCCTCCGAAGAAAGTGAAAACTGGAGAACAGTCTAATATACCTCCACCACCATCTGTAGGTTCTCAATCTTATCAGTATAGCAGTGGACCAAGCGGACCTTATCAGTCACAACAACAGTTTCAAGGTGGCCAATATGGAGGTCAAGGTGGCTATCAACAAGGTTATCAACAATATCCACCTCCGTCAGATCCTAATTATGCAAATTATCAAAATTGGCAGTATGGACAAGGTGGTCCGCAAGCATATGGACCTTATAATCAATGGGGTTCTTACAATTATTATTAAAGGATTATTCTTAATTTCTTGTGTAAGCAGTTATTATGCGTTATCATATTTGTTGTATATTTTATGACCCTTTTTCATTCACTTTCAATTTATCAAAAACGAATAATTTTATCAATTTTACCGCTAAATTACGGAACAGGCTTTCCAAAAGTGCTATTTCCCTTTTAACATTTCTATAAATGCTTTTCGAAATGATAAATATGCACTTAAGCTTCTAAACGATATGTAATGAGAGTTAATGTATTGAAAAATACGTCTATTAATTGAGTTTGCTATTACGTCAAGTTGTAAAAAAGTTCTTTCAATGTCAATGTCATCTTTCATACAAATTCATATTAGATACAAATTACTTTACGTATATTTAACAAATTCACGTATGACACGGCAATAAGCTATGATCGTTTTCTATTCTTCTTGACATAAGTCGAATAGTTGAAAATCGAACAGCTTACCCAAATGACATGAAATAAAAACATAGGATAGTTTCTAATGCATTTTTTCCCCATTTTTGATACATAGCACAAAGATTGTGTTTGCTTATATGTTCAATATAAAAATCTCATTTTTAGTTATTAATAATGTAACATATTGTTGAGTGCATTTGCACAAATCAAATATGTTACATCAGTAAAATTGAAATGTATGAAAATTGTAACCGTACAAATTCATTATCATTTTTATTTTGACATACTTGAACGAAATTATATTCTACTTGAAAAATGAAACTTACAGACTTAGACTAACATATGCGAAATGCATTTATTATAAATCGTATATGTTATGAACAAATCCGATTTTAATTTAATCTTATTAATTTGCTTTCATTCAATTATTATATTACTTTAATTAATATCTCGTGTGTATATATATATATATATACATATATATATACATATATATATACATATATATATACATATATATATATATACATATATATATACATATATATATATACATATATATACATATACATATATATACATATATATATTATATGTGATATATTATAATTGGTAAATTAAAAATATTTTTATCAATATCTTTGTCATTAGCAAACTTTTATGATTACATTTAATTTCTATATATAAAATATTTTCATGTGCATATATCATGGTTCATAATAGATGAAATAAGATTTTGAAAAAGTTAATCCAAAATAATTAACTACAAGTTTAGTTACTTTTCTGGAATTTAAATTTAGATAAAACCAATAATATAAAACTTGTGTAGTGAATTTACCTTCGATTAAATACTTTTTAAAATTTTACTTTGGTTACTTATAATTTTTAAATATTGAACAAAGGTGCGAATTTCAGTATGTTTGCTGTTGACTCAATGTGACATAGTTATATATCTTTTGACATTACCTCTAATAATGCTGAAATGTTCACAAAATATCACTTATCCAATAACAGAATTAAGATTTAGAATATGTAATGTATGTGAAATTGTTCACAAACTAATGTAAATAAAGAGATGGATGTCATCTTGATTCAAATGCATTCATAAAAACTAATACAATAGTTTGTTGTTTTAATGTCACTATTTTGATGTAATTTAATCATTTCTATTAGAAACTATTGTTTTCAGTCTACATCTTGTTAGGAAGTATAATAAACATTTTAAATATAAAAATTTTAATATTTTTATTAAATCTGTTATAACAAGTGCGTAAATATTTGTTAAAAATATTTTTATTTTTATAACTTTAATCTCATATTTAAATTGAAAGTTAAACTTTCAATTTTATAATTTCATACTTAGATACTACTAAAACATAATAATTATAAATACTTATTTATAACAGCTGATGATAGAAATCTATAAATTTTAAGAAAAATAAGTTTTTGTAATAAAAGCATAGTAAAGTAAGTTTAGTTTCAAGTGGAATAATATTAAAATATGAAGAAGATTAGTAAGCAAGAACTTTTTTTTACTTATTAGAAGTAGTTAACTGTTTTTAAAGAAATTATTTAAATCGGTATGTATTATTCAACAATAGCACTTGTAGCCATTTGATTCAATCCACAAGTTCCATCTCCTCTGTAAACTCTATAATATCCTTGTTCACCCCATTGAGGACCCCAACTATTTTTTATTATCCAATATGGTAGTTCTTTCTTGAATAGTGGATATTCTGAAAAATGCCCATTGATTTAAGTACACATCAACTTTATTTGATGTTAAAGATAATTTAGTATTCTGAGTTCATTATAAAAAATTAAATAAATAATGAGTAATACTTACTACGTATTCCATAACCTACGATAAGAACACCATGATCCAAATTGAAAGGATTGCATAAGAATTTAAAAGGATGAGAAATTCCACCCATATAAAACTGCATCGCATTAGCATTGATACCAATAGATATAGGACCTTTTTCAATTAGCCACTGTGCCATTTTTGTTTCATTGGATGAAATATTAACAGCAGAAGCAATTTCTACTTTAATTTTATATTTATTAAAGTAGCATTTTTCATCTTTGGCTACATATGGATAATCCGATTCTAATTCAAATCCTCCTAAATTTTCTATTGCTCTATAAGCATTTTCTGGTAATCCACCATTGCAAGCGTCATCTAATTTATCACAATCTACTAATTCTTGTTCAGATAACGAGAGTAATTTTCCATGCTTTATAGCATATTGCCCCTCTACATTACCTGTTACAGAAAATGCCCAACATGACCCACATTGTCCTTGATCTTTCACAGGTGTCACAGCATTGTAATGACGCCAATCAAATTCAATGGGCAATTCAATATCAGGTATTTTTGCTTCTGGGATTGGTATTTGATTTTCTGTACGCAAATCAGGACGCAATCCTAAATGTTGCTTTTTAAATTCTTCAGATGTTAAATCCGCAAACATAGTCACTCCATATTCTCCAGTACCTTGTTCATGCGTTTGCAATCTTTCTATCGTTCTAAGATTTTTTTGAAATATCTTAAAGCGATATTTTTTTTCTTTATCAGATGAATAATTTTTATTAAAATTTACAATAAAATTTTGGAACATTCTTTCATTTCTCATACTATCTGCTTGAATTAACATATTTCGAATATAATTGGCACCTTTAAGAGATCGTTTCCTCTTCGTATTCTGTTCGCAATTTATTTTAATATCTGGAGAACCTTTATCTAACCAAGGTTGTGACCATATAGTGAATAAACATTCTTTAAGATCACTTCCCTCTTTCAATTGACAATTTTCTTTTGTTCCTTTAGGACAATTACTTACACCTAATTTCACTTTTATTTTATATAATAAACCTGAAACAACTTGAGTAGATGCTTCTATAATTTCTACTAAGATTGGTTCATTTGTACTTTCCAAATTTTGAGAAAATTTAGTTACACCAAGATTTGCAAATTTTACAATTTCCGGATCATTTATGTCTTTCCTAGAAGGTTCTCCAACTAATGATCTTTTTCTTTTTCTTATAGCGATATCATAAAGAGCAGGCGATCTTTTTTTTTTATTAAAGGATAGATTTGAATCAATAATATTGTTTTGAGAATTGAATTTTTCATCTTTGTTATGCACTGATGCTTCTTCCAATACAATTTCTCTTTCATTAACTAATGCTTGTTGACTATTGTCATTCTCATTAGTCTTAATTGGTAAATCAAAATCTTCTAAAAATTCTTCAAATTCTTTAATTTTATTTGTAAACCCTTGAGATTCTTCTTCATCGTTACTTTTATTTATAAGTAATTTTATAAATGGATGTTCTGTGACAAGCGGTTTTTCATTTTCTTGAGTATTAACATTTGAAGTACGTGTAAAATCGTTTATCAAAACACTCTTTAAACCATCAAAAGCATTGTCTTTCTGTTGCTGATTGTTATCTTTAGCTATTATATATGACTCATTTATTAAATTTTGAGCTATATTAAATTCATTATTACTAATTGACACTGCTGTACAATTATTCTTTGTTATTTTACGAGTATCGTGTTGCCAAGGTTGCTCTTCAAATGTCACCAAACATGTTTTGATTGGAACATTAGATTGCAATGTACAATCTGAAGAACTTGTCAATACATTTTTTAAACAAGAGGATTCGCCTACTTCAACTAAAAGTTGATACTGTATTATGTTAGAAGAAGGTGGAACTGCACGAGTTACTTTAACAATATCAATTATTGTATGTTTAAAATTATTCGGTAGAACCTCATCCATTTGTTTTTCAATCTGTCTGTTGAAAGTAACAAATCCAGGTAGATGAGGATTCAAGTCATACGGGCATCCAGGACAATAATTAGAATCAGATGTTTTCACGGCTATGATTTGAGGATCATTTTCATCTCTTGTCGATTTAATTTCATGATCTGATGCAGTAGTTCCATTTTGTATAATCTGTTTGTTTAAATTTTCTATAAACTCATGATTTTCATAATTAATCTCTTTGTTTTGTTCTGGCACTCCATTACTTTGAGAAGACTGAGGATACAAATACGTACATTGAATAGAATCGCTTTGTACGTGTATATTGCTAAACTCATCTTGTTTAAGGTTAATTGTGCATGCTTCTGTAGGACAGGATATTAAAATTTCTTTACAAACAGGATTCAAATTAAACGTTAATCTATATATCACGTATGACAGTTCTTCCTGGAAAATAAAAAGTTAAAAGTGTTTTTATAATTATAAATACGTAGATTAATACATTTAAATTAAATACAAATAAATTCCAAATTAATTGATTTAAGCAAAAATAATAAAAGATAAATCTTGTTTTTAGTTAGAAATTTCTATTTTGTTAAATAGATAAAAATAATTATATTACTTTTAAATAATTTCGAATAATTATATATTTCCCAAAACATAATGTGAAATAATTGATATGACTTACTAATTTTTCAGCATTAATCAATTGTCCACCTGTATATGTGTGATGCGTTGGTGAATTTTCATTTAAGAAATGTAACGCAGTTTGTATCAACGAATCGTTTACACTTTGTAATGATATATTTGTAGGATTAGAGAATGTTAGAAAAAACAAATTACAACAAAATATGAACTTCGTTATAGAAAAACGTAAGTTTGCCATTACTTTTAATAATTCTTAACTGCGTTGCAAAAATCTTCACATTAACTTCTAAGTGCTTTCAACTGTCTCTGATGAATGATGACTAGCATGTAGTGACAACTGATGTAGTTAATTTCATTATCATGTAGTGCTGCAAGTTACAAAGAAGAATAATGCATTTGTTTGAAAGAATCAATATATTAAGAAACGTTTGTATTATTTGCGTCATCATTATTATTGTTATTATTATTATTATTGTTGTTATTATCATTATTATTATTATTATTATTATTATTATTATTATTATTATTATTATTATTGTGTTTTATAATCACCTTCACCTCTAAGATTATAAGTGGCAGAAAACAAAAATGAAAAAATATCGTTTTACGTCGTTTGTTTATTCCTCTACCAATGAAATTAATATTTTTTTCAAAACAATTAATAAATTTTACAATCATTTGGTATACTGTGATATATATTACGATATATAATAGTATATACTGATGGAAAAAACTTTACTTTCCTCAGAATTTATCTACTTTCCTGAATATTTGAATAAACAAAATATTCTTTGACATATTTATTAACGATTGGTTTTAAATTATGCTACGATTGATCTTATAAATATTATTGGTTCATATGAAAACACCAATGGTGTAATCACCAATAAAAACAATACTATTTATTAGATACTGTATTTTTGATATTCTTTTGTTATTATATTTAAGTTATTGAAATGTATGATGAAGAAACAATAAGACAATAATCCGTATATAATAGAACGATTAATTTGAACTAATATTAAACAAATTTAATGTTAAATCATTTTGTACAGATTAAACCTTTGAATTTGCCGCCTAAAATACAGCGCCTCCTTCGAATTACTAGTGCGCCATTTAGGTACATTGTTAGTATGAGGTTGATAACAGTAGTAGCCAGTGATCGTCAGTAATTACAATTGGTCATCGTCGTTTAAATTAGAGAAGTTATTTGAACTGATCAGAACAGCTAAAAAATGCCGAGTCAAGAAGTTGTTACTACGAAAGTAGTAGTCCATCCTTTAGTTTTATTAAGTGTAGTGGATCATTTTAATCGTATGGGAAAAATTGGAAATCAAAAAAGAGTGGTTGGCGTTCTTCTTGGTTGTTGGAGAGCCAAAGGTGTTTTAGATGTGTCAAACAGTTTTGCAGGTTAGGATTTTAGATTTCTATAAATATACATTCAGATTTTCCTTGTCCTATATTTAATATAAAGCTTTCATTTTGACAAAGTATATTAAAAAAAACAAAAAAACAAAAAATAATAAATAAATAATCAATAACATTCCAACATTTTTTCAGTACCTTTCGATGAAGATGACAAAGATAAAAGTGTATGGTTCCTTGACCATGATTATCTTGAAAATATGTATGGAATGTTCAAAAAAGTAAATGGTAATAGGTGATATGATGTATTAATGTAATATAGTATTTAATTGTTTGTAAAAATATATTGTAAAAAATATATACTTATAGCTCGAGAGAAAGTAGTAGGTTGGTATCACACAGGACCTAAACTACATCAAAATGACGTCGCCATCAATGAACTAATTAGAAGATACTGCCCAAATTCTGTATTAGTTATTATAGATGCTAAGCCAAAGGATTTAGGTCTTCCTACTGAGGCATATCAAGCAATAGAAGAAGTACATGATGTAAGCTTATTTACATATGATATGATAAGATGAAATTTTGAACTATCATTATTGTAAAATCTTGTATTATTTTAATAGGATGGTTCCCCAACATCTAAAACATTTGAGCATATACCTAGTGAAATAGGCGCTGAAGAAGCCGAAGAAGTAGGAGTAGAGCATTTATTACGTGATATTAAGGATACAACAGTTGGTACACTTAGTCAACGTATCACAAATCAACTTCTTGGATTGAAGGGTCTTCATGAGCAGATAAGAGAAATTAGGGATTATTTATTACAAGTATATAATTTTTTTTTTTTGGTACACGTTAATCTCTTACCTTTCAAGTTGCAAAAAACATTTCTTATTTCCAGGTTGGTAATGGTAAATTACCAATAAATCATCAAATTGTATACCAATTACAAGATATATTTAATTTACTACCAGATATGACACAGAGCAGTTTTGTGGATTCATTGTATGTTAAAACAAACGATCAAATGCTGGTAGTATATTTAGCAGCACTCGTGAGATCTATAGTCGCTCTTCATAACTTGATAAACAATAAATTGACCAATCGTGATGCAGAAAAAAAAGAAATGGACAAGAAAGATGCTAAAAAAGATGAGAAAAAAGAAGAAGATAAGAAAGATGAAAAAGAGAAAGGAAAAACTAAAAGTCAATGAGTAAGAAATATTATATCTCCATAAAGAGCAAAATCCATTATTAAGACCATCAAAGTTAAGAATAATTATTAACTTCGCATATGTAAATAGCGATGCTTGTTTATAATCTATACATAATGAATTTGTATTTTGCAAAAAATTAACAGAAATGAACTATTAGATTATTACAGAATGACTTAGTTAACCATTTTCATGCTTTCAGAATTATCATAATTGCATATTAATTCTATCAAATAAAAATAATGTAAATCTTGTAAATGCCACATATACGTTGTTATTACAATTTCTAATGTACTACATGACGATATAAAATGTGGAAATGAAGACTAATTTTAGTTGATACATAATTCATTCATACATAATTATATGTTGTTTTCTTCTAGTTGGTAATTTTAGAAAATCAATCATTCGAATTATCTGATTATACAGAAACAGAATTTTTCTATGAAATAAATTGCAATGGATTTATCAAATGATTATAAATATTTTATAAATATCATAGAGACACTCTATTTTGTAGGAAATGCAGTTTTTTACCTAAAATATTGGAGTCTTAATAAAAAAAAAAAAAAAAAATATCTTACATATGCTATTATTGTTCCATATACTGTCATATATTTATTACCTTTTAATGCTCATTTATTAGCATTAAATGATCTTTGAAAATCTAAATTAAATTTATGTGAAATTTTTTTAGTTGAAAAATGAAATCATGGAATTTTATCTACATGGATTCCAGTCGAGATTCATGTGACGAACATAAGTGCGATAGGAAAGTTTCTTGTCCATTTCTTTAACAAATTATTTTAGAATTTTACTATGTCCAATCTATTTACCAGTAAAAATATTATTGGAAAGATACAGTGTTAATGCTTTAGTCTTAAATCAGAATTAGATTAAAGGGATTTTGAAAATACATTGAAATATGCAGCCATTTGCTCGATAGTACTTATGTTGCATGATTAATCATTAGATTTCCATACATCACAAGAACTATTGACCCAGGTCTCACCACGTGGAGGTTGCTGCATGTGGAGACCCACGGACTGACGGTGACTCTACTCTAAAATTCGCGTTCCGCGATACCGATCCGCTATACCTTTCCGCTTCAATGCACTGGCTTCTTAACTAACAGGGTATGCGTAGCTTTGCTACAACACACCTCTTACAGATAGCTCCACCATTTGCACCGTCCGCTTCAGACATAACGGATTATTAAGCACATTCGAATTCGTGCTTTCCGAATTTCGAACAATCAAAGCGCACTCCTTAGAAATACTAATCGCGTCGCGACACTCACGTGTGTGTTATAATTACGTAGATTCTACTATTAAGCCGAAATTCGCGAAGTACCCCCATCGGAATTTTGAAGAAATCAAACGAAGTCCACGGTAGGACCTTTAATCGCGCCCGAACACCCACGCGAGTGTTAGAAAAACGATGACTCTACTCTACAATTCGCGTTTTCGATTCGAACAATCAAACGAAGTTTAATCGCGCCCGAGAACACCCACGCCTGTGCCCGCCGACACGCGCGCCAGTGTTCTTCCTATCCTTCCCGTATTCGCGTAGAAATCGATGATGAATCTTGCCATTCGATGTACCATCCGGTCGCTGATGAACCTATCCCTCGATGATCTATCCTGGAAAAGAAGAAAGTAAGCAGAAAATAAGAGAAAGAAAGAAAATACATAAAATAAAACATAATATATATATATAATATAAATAGAAAATAAACATAATTAAAAACATAATTAAAAACATAATTAGAAAGAAACAACATAAATAAATATTAAGAATACATAATAAAAAGGAAATAACATAATAATAACATAATGGATAACATAATTCAAAAAGAAAAATATGAGATAGAAACGAGAGCCGGAGAAAGAAAAGAGAACCCCAGAAAGAGAAAAATATAGAGCCCCAAAAAGATAAGACAAGAGAAAAAGTTCTCTATGATGCTGAGACAGCAACCCGCACAGAAGCCCTCCCCCACAGGCCCCTCCCATGGGTCCCACCCGAAATACACAAAGGATAATTAATGAGAGTGAATAAGAATAAATAGAAATGACAGTGGACGTAAAAGAGAGATAGAAAAATTTCCTTTTCATTTCTCTGAGAAATTATTGTACAATATATTTCTGTCAAATTTCTTCTTTTGAAGTATTATTAGCTATATAAAATGAAAATATGTTAATGTTTAGTTGAAATTAGTTTGAAAAGATATTGGAAAAGTAATACAATATGCAGCTATTCGTTCGGTAATACTTGCATTTAAAAATTTACAATTAAACTTTGCAAGTATTAACGATCCAGGTCTCACTACGTGGAAGTTGCTGCATGTGGAGACCCACGAGCTAACGGTGACTCTACTTTACTCTAAAATCCGCGTACCGCGATACCGATCCCTTATGCCTTCCGCTTCGGATATCTTGGGCATGGGACAAAGCTAACAGGAAGTATCTAGCCTTAGCTACAGGGACTCCACTTACAGAAAGCTTAACCGTTCGACACCCTCCGCCTCAGGCATAACGGATTATTAAGCACATCTGAATTCGTGCATCCGAATTTCGAACAATCAAAGCGCATTAATCGCGTTCGCGACACTCACGTGTGTTACAATTACGTAGATTCTATTGTTCTATCCAAATTCGCGAAGTAATCTAATCGATATGTCGAAGAAATCAAACGAAGTCCCCGGTAGGACTTTCAATCGCGCATGCGAACTCTTACGTGAGTGTTAGTATAACGGTGACTCTAAGTTGAAATCCGAAGCGCACTCCAAATTTCAACACTAAAACGAAGTCCATAATAGGACTTTTAATCGCGCGCGGACACC